GATAGATAGATAGATAGATAGATAGATAGATAGATAGATAGATAGATAGATAGATAGATAGATAGATAGATAGTTTATTGGACATCGTACGGCCAAAAAAGCTATTTAGCTACAAAGTGTTTTTAAGACCTCTAAAGATTGATTTAAGACATTTTAAGGCTAATTCTGGTCTTATTTTTGCATTGATTCAATGCCTTTTAATGCTTTTTAAGGATCTGCAGGAACCCTGAAAGGTACACCAAATTAGTTTCACATAAAGAAACGTTATGGGTAAACACTGACCCCTAGTGGTAAAGACGAAGCTTACGTTCTAGAKGGGTGGTCTACCTGTATATTTGTTCCACATCTTGGGCAGCATTTACAGTTCTCATTGAGCCAGTCCCTGCTAAAAGACTCCTCTACAGCTTTCTGGACCACCCTCTTCCCAAAGCGTTGCTCCATGAACTTCTGTCCCTCAGCTGTGGCTGACAGATACTCATCTCTTAGGTTACGCAGATCATCTGTGGAACCAGAGAAAAAAATTTATTTTTCATTATACTGTAAGGTTATTTGTTTAAATAAATAGATATTAATGCACTGTCTGTGTCATTACCTGCAGTGATTTTACAATGAGAGACGCCATGATAGCCCAGCTTGCACAGCGTGCAAAAAGCGTACTGGCAAGCTGAGCAAATGCCCATGGTTGTGTCTGGTTCCACCATCACAGCCGTGCCGCAGGACATGCGCGGACAGTACACCACATCAGCCATCAGGTCCAAACTGGACTGAAGCAGCAAACGGTCGTATCGGGCAAACAGCTCCTCATCCACCAGCTGTTTTACCTTAGGGACGAAGAGAGAGAAAAACAAGGTACGCTGTAAAAACTGTCCATCTTACCAAGTTTTAAAACCTTATATCAGCCAAAAAGTCTTTTTGATCTTGTTTTGAGACTAATTTACTAAACAAGAACTGATTGTGTAAGAATAATAATCTTGTTTTCAGAATCTGTAAGATTATTTGTCTTGTTAGTCTGAAAATTTGACTCAAATTAAGTCAAAAATTTCTGCCAATGGAGTAAGAAAGTTTTTACTTGGTAAGATTCTTAAAATACTTGATTTGACTCATTTTTTTCTTATTTCAAGAATCTTACCAAGTAAAATGTTCTTACTCCACTGGCAGAAATTTTTGACCTAATTTGAGTCAAATTTTCAGACTAACAAGACAAATAATCTTACAGATTCTGAAAACAAGATTATTATTCTTACACAATCAGTTCTTCTTTAGTAAATCAGTCTCAAAACAAGATCAAAAAAACTTTTTGGCTGATATAAGATTTTAAAACTTGGTAAGATGGACAGTTTTTGCAGTGTAGAGAGGAACTGCTGATTTGCTTGAAAAACAAACAAAAAATAAATAAATAAATACTGTCACATGGAATAAATTTTAGGAATAAATCTGTTTATTTTTTTGTCCTACCTGCGACGGCATGGCGACTGATGTGCATTTGGGCATGGGGCAGTTGAGGCCCTGAACGTTGCCGTCCTGTATTTGAATCTCAAAATAGGCTTTCAGGCAGGCCTTGCAGTAAACGTGCTGGCACTCTTTAAAGCACAGCGAGTTGGAGCCCAGCTTATCCGCGAAACAGATGCCACAGGAAAACGTTTTGCCGTCGAATACCCGCTGCCGCTGCGCCTCGTCAAAGTCCAGGAGCTGAGGGAGGGGGTCCGAATGTGGGTCCATCAGAACCACAGCACGGGGATCTAGCTTGGACGAGGATGAGCCGTGCTGGCCAGGTTTCTCTTTAGTCGCCGCGGACTTCTTCTTCTTGGGTTTGTCGGATTCACTGATGCATTGTGTCCCACCTGAACGGAGAGGTTTTAGTACGAAAACACAGTGATTTAAACTTTAATGTGATGCACACATAAATCTGAGTAATATCATTTTTACTTAGAAGAAAAACAACATTTGATTTCACTAAATAATACAGGACAAGAAAGCTATTCAGATAAATTAAAGAGGATCATTTCATTCTATATAATTTAATCTGAAATACAATGAAACTGTTACAATTTAGTTAGTAACTGTACATTTTAAGGCTACAATTTGCAACATTGGAGCACTTTTTGTCTCACACAAAAGCAGCCGACTAACTTCAAAACAGCCCAAATGATGTGAAATATAAGCTAGAGAAAAAAGTAGCTCCTAATTCTCTGTAAACTACTTTAAAAATAACGATATACAGATCAAATACCTCACATTAGGCCTCATGCAAGAACATGTTCGTATTCTTATCCTAAATTTCTCTTACTTTTGTTCGTACAAAGGGTTCGTACGAACATGTCACGTCAGATTCAACAAACTCTTCTATCTTCAGGAAAAGTGYGTAAATGAGCTGCGTAAATTMCACCTGTTCRTATCCAGCTGCTCGTGCACGYGAGAGGAGATTAGCATAATTACCACCCCAAATACACCATATAAGGCTATGTTTCCTGCCTCAGACACAAGGAAGTGTCCATTCATGAAAAATGACAGCGAAAATTAAAAAAGAACTTTACGAGTTCAGAGATTGAAGTCCGTCTGTCAGAGATCCAGAAAAGAAAATCTGTCATTTTTAGCAGCTCAGCTGTGGAATAAAAAGAGCTGCTAGAAGTATAAACAACTGTGTTAAATCATTTTCATTTATTGAGAAGACACATCGTCGCGCACCGACCCCTCCCCGGGCGCGCGCGCTGTCTCAAGTGGTCTCAGTTGCGGTTCTGAAATAAGCATTTTAAAATGTTTTCAAAATAAGTCTGACACTTTGGAGAAAACCCAGGACTCGCTGGAGGGATTATGTATCCCCTCTGGCCTGGGAACGTCTCGGAGTCCCCCAGGACGAGCTGGAAGGTGTCGCTGGGGTGCGGTAAGTCTGGGTCTCTCTGCTGCTGCACCCCCGCGACCCGATCCCGGATAAGCCGGCCGGACGGACAATTTATATTGTTAGTCTAAATTATTACATTTAAAATTATAACTCTAATTCAAGCAGAATAGCCTATTGTCAACATAATTATGGAGTGTAATTTATTTTCAACTCAAAATATCTTCAAACTAACGAAATATAAAGTTATTAATGAAGAAAACCCGTCTGGATAACAGCAGACTGACTGCTGGTAAAATATACGACAGGTCTGGACCACTCGTGAATTTTGTTCGTATCTGAAAAAAATCKTAGAATACGAAAACATTGGTGAATGSCACAAATTCTCCTAAATCACTCGTACGCACAATTTAAGAACAAATCTGTGCGTACGAACGGTTATTGCATGAGGCCCATTGTTCGAGTCTTTTACTAGAAGATGGTGTTTTAGTTAGAATTTGTCAATCTTACAAGTTCGAACACATTGGATCACCAGGACAAAAAAAACAATTTGAGATAAGCAGCTGGCTCTGGCAACAAAACCAACCCACTGAATGTTTGTACAGCATGTAGTTGTCTGCAGCAGGACTAAAGTTTAAAATAACACACACAATAAAATGTCACCAATAAAACAAATTGTGAAATTTAATCTGCTTTTTATAGCATTTTTCTGGTACTAAAAAAATGTGATTTTAATGCTACTTTTTAAAAAACAATTTATTTATATATGGAACCTTTAGTAGCGAGGTCCGTCTTCCTTCGTTCACCATTWGCTTTATTGTTCACGCTGATTTCAAGGGGAGACTTGATGCTCAAAAACTCCAGCGTCTCCTCTTTGAGGAACTGGATCCACATGAAGAGAATCTCAGAACCCTGGTTTTCCTCCCATAACTCATCCAGGTGTCGACAGAGCGCGCTCAGCTGAACAAATCAAACAAAGACGTGTAAGAAGAGATGGATAACAGGGCGGAGATGTTTGTGTTTTGTGTGGCATTGCAAAGAAATATTTAGGTTAGTATGAATCTTACCTGAGCTTTGGTAATCCATTTAGAGCTGAGAGTGAAAACCGGGGGAGAAGTGGAGGGATAGTCTGAAGGAAGCTCAAAATTGAGCATCAGTGGAGGTAGGAAGCAAACATTATGTTCATGTGTCTTATCTCCTGCAACAGACCACATGTTTGCTCAGTAGGATTGTCAAATAAAAAGACATGTATGCCTAAAAAATGAGCTGTGCACAGGTTGCATAGCCTCTTCATTCACAACCATACCTTTTACAACCACTTTAAAATCTGGAGGCAGCTCCAGACACAGTTGGATCTCTCCTCCTTGTGCAGACTCAGCACGGCGGAACTCCTCTTCATCATAGATACTTGCTAAAGCAAGTAGCTCATCCTCCTGGGATTCCTGATCCTCAGTCATTTACATTCCTTTAACAGCAAAATAGGGTTAAATTTACCACCAAACACCTAACATTTGACATTAGTATCTTAATAAACTGTGAATCTTTTGTGTATATATTAATTTCTATTTATAGTCTTAAAATACAGAAAGAAACCAGATGTAAATTAAGGAATAATCATGTAACATATTATCCCAACGACTTAATTAGTAACTTAGTTATTGCTAAGGCTAAGCTACGTCGTCGTAGCCWAAAAGTTTAAACACAGAGTTAATCTTCACTGCCGTAAGATGTTAGTTGTTCGATGATAATGTAACAGACATTTTACAAAATATAGTTTTGCAGATAATAGAAGCTGACAAACTTCAAGCTGTCAGTCAGCTAGCTAGCTTGCACTTAGCTTATGTAAATAAAGGTTTTGTTGTAGAGAAAGGAGCTCTCTACTGCATAAACCTTTCCTTCCGCGTTAAAGCACAACCGCATTTCCAAGCGATTAAATCGAACAGTGCGTTAAAAATGTTGAAATATATATATTTTCCCTACATTTAGTGTCCCAACTAGTAACCAAGACTTTTACCCTCTGACCGGTTTTTCTGGACATGACGAGTCACCGCCGGATCAGCTCCTTTGCGCTACAATGACACAATGTCCAGCTAGAAATTATGGCAGGCGGGTAAAACTGGCGTTCAAATCTCTAAAGTGAGTGTGGCAACAAAGTAATCTGTATTTAAGGCACAGTTAAAATGACTGCGTATTAACTTCATAAGTATCAACATATCAACCGACTTTATTTACTAATGAAGAGCAACATTATCTAAACAAAGGCTCTTGCCGCTGAATTTGAGCGGACCATCCGGCGCGTGCGCCGGACAATAAATGGTGCGTACAAGCCGAGCTGTAGACTGAGTCTGGTGTTGCATCAAAATACGTCCCCCTGCCGAGATCTTCACCAGCTTCACTCTAATCTCCCTTAAAAGCTATTGTTTTCAACAATTACATTTAAAGGACAAATAGAGCTAAATTAAAAGATTCTGTTCTTTTTTTTAGCAGGGAAAAAACAATAATGGCTGAAACCCATTGAGACTCAACACACTGTGTTGCTACATGTCTTACTTGTTACACGTGTTACACATGTGTGACATGTAACGAGATTGTCATGCTTTAAAAAACCGAGGCATACTTTTTTAATAAAAAAAAAATTCAACCTACTTTTACCATTGTGGCAGGTCGATGTATCATGTAAATACAAAGATTGGCAGGTCGTTGTGTCATATAATTTAMAAATAAGATAGGTTGTTGTAMCAGTGGGCTAATTAACTATGTATGACAGGCCAACGCGCACACTTTAAACATGTGTCATGTTAATCATGTTTAATCAAATAAKTAATGATGTATGGCAGGCTGTTGTATCAATTTAAAAATGGCACGTTGTTTCACATAAGGTGAGGTATAGCAGACCTGCTGTTTTTAATTTATGTGACACAAGATGCCACACAGTTTTTTCTGTTTGGCAGACTGTTTAATACAATCAACCATTATGGCAAGCCTTTATATTAAAATAAAAATAATGAAAGCTTTTGTTTCATTTTTTTTCTAGTTGTTTTTTCCCCATTATCAAAATAGTTTTAAATAATTCAGTTTCAAACACTTAGCTTTAAGCGTCAATTTTTTTCTTCATGGCCCCAGTTTAGCTTCATACCGATCAACCAAATACCTTTAACTAGGCCATAACATTTGAAGGTATCAAAGTAGATCTTCACAAATTATTTGAAATTTAAGTTAATCCTAACTAAGCACTAAATCATCTCTTCATTTACTCTAAAAACTCAAAACCAGTGCTTTGAAACATTAAAAAGCATYTATAACGGGGTTTTCTCAGAACTTTATTTTTAGGAATTATTTTTTTGCCTTTCTGGTGACGTGTTGAACCAACAATCACAACTTTAAAGTAGAAAAAAAAGAACATTACAAGGCTACCAGAGAACAAACGGGTAATTGCTTTTTAAATGAGAAAAGCAGAACAATGAAATACTGCATGACAGTAACTTGTATCTAAATCTCAGCTTTTTCAGTACAACTTAAAAAAACAAACAAACAAAAAAAAACATTTTCTGTTTCATTCAACATCCAGAAGTTGTGGTGGAGAGAAAAGAAATGCAGTTTTACATTTACAATTGAAACAACTCAAGTCCCCAACGTCCCTGTATTTATATCTTAAAACAAACTCCATTTTACAATTTCACAATTTTTCTAGGTACTATTAGTGTGAACGGCCCTGTTGCACAGTTCATCAGATCTGACAAGCTTAAATGTGCTCAGGAGAAGCTGAATATAACCTTAAACATTACAGCCATCAAAGCAGCACAGAGAAAGCAGCCTCCACCCCCACACTCACAACTTTCAAGTCTTCAAGTAGTTCATTCAATAATAATATTATTTTTATACTCCAAGAATATAAGAAAAGACGTGCCGTGGAGGCAGCCTGATGATTAGCACTGGTAACAGATGCTGTTGTCTGTCTTTAAGAGAGGCTACGGTGTCATCAATAACAATCTCCAAAGAGGGGCAGAACGGGGGAAAGTAGCAGCACGAAGAACGGAAAACTCAAGGTTGGCAGCAGAAAAACAAGTTAGTCAATGTCCATCTCAGGCTTGTCCACCGTTTCCTGCTCTGTGCCTGGTGACTTTGCGTTGTCTGGGTTGCATGGCTGGTTTTCTGTTACTTCCTGCCCATTGACTGGCCCGTTCTCCATCTTCTCCTCCTTAGGAGGCTCAACTTTGGGTTTAGGTTTGGACACCACTGGGTTACAGGATGAATAAAGCTCCTGAACAATGAAAACAGGGAAAAATGGAATTAGATTATCTGAGTTAGGTGTTTCAGGCAGCACAGGTCGTGAGTGTGTGTCTTTAAAGTACCTTAGCCTTGGCCTGAATCTCTCCAACTCGTACCACAGGGTCCAAGGCGAGGTCCTGACTGTTCTGCTGGTTCATCTTAGAGTTCATCCAGGCCATGGTATCATTGACGTGCTTGTCGATCCGAGTCACCTCCAACTCGTCCAGGTGATCATACTGCTCATCCTGAGGAAACGAGAATGGGATGTTTGTACTAACGAACAACAGATAACCCATGAACACATCGATAGGCTGACATGTTACCTTTGCTTTGTGAGCTTCTATGATCTTTGTGTATTTCTGGATTTGTCTGCCCAGTTCCTCAAATGCTTTCGGTCTCTCATTGGCTTCCACGTACCGATCGTGAATGGGCTGACCCATTTTCTGTAAAAAGGAACAGTACAGTAAAGCTTCAAGACTGTTCAGTTACAGAGAAGCCCTGATTTTTGCTCAGGTTACTTTCTTAGAGTACCCCCGAATCAGAAAAAAATGGCCTACAGCAGGGATGTTCAACTAAATTGCTCCGGGGGCCACAGTTACTGCCTGTCAACCGCTGAGGGGCCGAACATCCAGCAATTAAAGCTATTATGTAAATAAACCAAGTATTACGAAGATCTGTTACCTTTGAATTAGTTTATTTTGCTGCATTTAATCATGAAAACAACATACAGAACCCTATAAAAGTAGTGATAATTAAACATTATCAAAAACAAAAACACATTATGCCTCTTATTATTAGACACAAATAATATTTTGACATCTCTGACTTGTCAAATGTTTAAACCAATTTTATTTTCACTTTCATCATTTTATCTTCAACTGCTTGTAGTTTTAACTGTCTTGAGTGTTTATAGAGATGTTTTTACCAGCTTCTAGCCAAGATTCTGATGTTTCTGTAGATGTCTATGTTTAACTAAAAGAACGTAGAGTAATTAAAGTAGAAAACCGGGGGTTTGGGCATGAGATGAATGAACCTATTGGCGGGCCGAATTTTGGTCACTCGCGGGCCGGATGTGGCCCACGGGCCGCCAGTTGGATAGCCCTGGCCTACAGCAAGTTTGGGTTGGCATCGTCATGTGATAGGAACCAAACAAAAACACACGAGAGCTGAGCTAGCATTTTCATATATTTATTTAATTGAACAGAATTTATGCTAATTTTTATATCACAAAATTCCTAAATTGTTAAGTTCTTAACAATTTAGCTTGAAAACTCAAAAAACCTTTCTGCAATACTACCAAGATTACCACAATCTGTTAGTACCAGTACTTAGGTTCCATGAAAAAAAAATCATGTGAAACTGTGAAGTTTGTGGACCACAGTGCTTACCTTCAGTTCAACCAGTTTGTCAATGTAAACTTGTTTCTGTTGGTCCTCTCCGTCTTCATACAACCAACACTCTGTGTCTCCGAGTTTTAATGAAAACAAATCACGATCCTGAAATTTGAGCAAAGAGTAAAAAAAAATCATCAAAGCAGGAATGAAAAATGACAGGAAGAGAACATTACAAAGAAACTGAACTGATGCTGAAATCATCTCATTCTGTCTTATTTGGACTCACAGCTTCATTCACAAACTTCTCCAGCACACCGTGCAGTTTGTCTCGCATGTCGTACACGTATTCTTCTACGTTGTTCTTTGCGTCGTTTCTCTCCTTCTCCAGCTTGTCTTGCATGATCATTTTCCCCTTAAGGAGTCACAAAAAAAAACCCAGATCAGTTTATTGCGGTAGTTAAACCTTATGTATATGATTTATTTTCTTCCTTTTGAAACTTTTCTATCACAATGAAAACATGAGTATGTGAGTCTCACTACCAGACTATTTGGACTAATGTCTGTGCGTGCTACACATTCCTGGTGATTTTTAGAGCGTTACCTCATTCTCCACGAACACATTGAGCTCATCACTGGGCAGCTGCCACTGCAGTTTGCTCTCTATGGGCAGATCCACAGTCTTTGTTTTTACTTTGGCTTTCTTAGCCTGAGGAGGCTGGTCGCTCTTCTTCTCCTCTTTGGCTTCCCCTGTTGACATCTGGGGAGAAAAAAAAAAGATAGACATAATTTTTTTAAACAGATTGTGTAGTTTTAGGTAGACAGCTGTGTGTGAGTTCTGTATGTAAAACTAATTAAGGGTCCAGTCAGTTTCAGTATTTCTTTTTGTGTGTCCTGTAACGAAACGGTGAAGCCTTAAACTGCAACAATACAATCACTAGGGGTGTAAGAAAATATCGATACACTGAAATATCGCGATATTTCATTTCCTGATACTGTATCGATATTCTAAAGCCCTGTGTTGATTTTTTTATTAAGGTTTAAAATGTCAACTTYACTGCCAGCTGTTCATTTTTATGTTGTAGTTCAGCCTCTGACCACTAGTTGGCAGCAGTGAGCCAGCCAGTTGGCTCCTCTACCTCCTCTTGAGGTAGAGGTAGTTAGTGTTGGGTGGCCATATTGTAAATTAATTTTAAAAACTAAACGCTGCAAAAAATATATTTTCAAACTATGTATTGTCAAATTTAGTCTAATAATTGAAAACATGGATGAAATAAGAAATATGAAACAAATAAAATAAAACACATACAAAGCAGAACACAGCTAAATGTATAAAAAAGCATGTCTCTGTAATATTAGAATTTTCTGAGACAATGAATTTTGGTTTTTCATTTTTTCCCCAATAAGAGGTTTTTATTTAATAGAATTTTTGGACAAAAAAAAATCGCAATATATCACCTTGCTYAYAGTATCGCAATATATCGGGATATATCGTATCGTGACCCCTCTGTCATGATATGTATCGTATCGCCAAATTCTTGCCAATACACAGCCCTAACAATCACTGACATGTTCTGTCTCTGTGTCCTTCCTTCCTTCCTTAGTGAATAAATTAAGTCCAGATGTTTTAAAACGCTTTATCAACCTACATTACCCTATTGTACATTAAAATTAGCTTATCAACTAATTACCCAGGTTGTTACCAGAAAAAAGTTTGTTTGGATTTATATTAAAAGTCAAACAAGTGTTTCTATTTTGACATTGTTCTTTGAGGAAAAATCAGATTTTTTTTTTAAATATTGCCCCTAAGATGTAACAGGTGTGAATTGTAAAAAAAAAAAAAAAAAAAAAAAAAAAAAAAGGCCGTATTCTATCACCCAGTGCCAAACTACAACGACTAAGTTAAAAAGAGAATTAAAGTTGGTACTGTTCATTTAATGGTAACCTGGTGCTGGGCGATACGGCTACAAATTAAATATCAAGTTACAACTTTTTTCTACAGTCAAATTTACACAGATAATTGTGAGGATTATTAAATGTATACACTCAGCTGAGTGAGGTAAGAAAACATCTTAAAGATCTAACATTTGGATACAATATCCATTCTAAGGTTGGAGAATGTGATTTCATCCATTGCTGATATTAAGTGCAGTGGTGGTAGGGCTAATATCTAACCATTACAAATTACTCAAGTTAAAACACAAAATAAACAGCAGTTGTGTGGCAAGTGGACAAAATTATAAACTTACTCCACCAATCCAGCATAAAAAGGCTGTGCCTTCATTAGATCTGTCTAACCCTGCCACTTATATAAAATCTAATTCTAAACCTTATATGACTTCTGTAAAACTTACGTTGAAGAAAAGCAAAACAATCTTCCATGTTCAGCATGAAGGAAGATGGACTATTTATTATTAAACAAATTGATCCAAGTACATTATTAAGCATTTTTCTATTGTTCAAGCCAGTTTTGTTTTTTTATTGTTGACATTTTGGACTAGATGCTGGAACACTACAACCCCTGGCAAAAAGTATGGAACCACCAGTCTTGGATGAGCACTCATTCAGACATTACATTCTGTAAAACAAACTCAGATCAAAAACATGATACAATAATAAGGTCGTTCCAAAGTGCAACTTGTTGGCTTTCAGGAACAGTCAAAGAAATTAAGAGAAAACATTGTGGAAGTCAGTGAATGTTACTTTTATTGACCAAGCACAGGGAAAAAAATATGGAATCACTCAATTCTGAGGAAAAAAGTATGGAATCATGAAAAACAGATAAACAAAAGACCATTCAAAATACATCACTAGTATTTAGTTGCACCACCTTTGGCTTTTATAACGACTTGCGGTCTCTGAAGCCTAGATTTGATGAGTGACAAACAGTATTCCTCATCAATTTGGTGCCAACTCTCTTTGATAGCAGTTGCCAGATCAGCTTTGCAGGTCAGAGCCTTCTTGTGGACCATTTTTTTTTCAACCACAGTTTTTCAATTGGGTTGAGATCTGGACTATTTGCAGGCCATGACATTGACTAAATGTGTCTTTCTCCAAGGAATGCC